AGAAGAAGAAGAAGAAGAAGAAGAAGAAGAAGAAGAAGAAGAAGAAGAAGTTAGCATTGTCCAGTATATTTTTGATCTGCATTAAAAGTACAGTATCTATGAATACCAAATGGATACATAAATTAGTTAGGTGGGAAAAGGGAAAATGCTTTCAGAATAGGCAACTACTATGCTAGTCAGTTCTCCAATCTGTATCCTAGCAGAAAGAAAAATTCTGGAATAATATATATTATGTATTATAAACTACACTTGGATGGTGTTAAAATAAGCCAAACATACTACTTTACCACTACTATAACTAAAGATAATTTATGCTGCATATGTTGGGGACAAGACAAAAGCATCATTATGGGAATACAACAGGGAAAACAAATATATCTCAAAAATATATTTGTGCTGTGGTTAATTGCAAATGGTCACATGAGCTGTGAGTATGTCAGAAAATAATTGCCACTTGGACTAAGTATGTTCTAGCTAGGTGGTTTTGATATTTTTTAATAGGCAGCAATTTTAATCAACAGAGGAAAATATGCCTCTATAAAAAAAAATTCTACACTTTAGAAAGAGGATATATTCTCCATTTCACTCAACCTTCTGCTACTTCCCTATACTGAAGCCAGGAATAATGCTTTGATTTGCAACATTATGCAGGCAGTACTTTACAATCCTTCTCAACCATTTTAATTTAGTCAATTGTTATTCAATTTGTTAGATTTCTGTTCTATCCTACTTTTCTTCTAACAACTCAAGAAGGCTTACATGAGGGTCACTTCATTTTTTTTACCCACAACTCTTTGATTAGGTTCATAAGAATCAGTTAAATAGAACATGAATACATAATTGTGATCAGTCAGGGATAAATGTCTATGTGATCTATAAAATTGTTGGTATTTTCAACTTCTTCAAAACTGAAAGAGAATTAATGAACCAGGATTAGAAAGGTCATTCTCACTTAAAATTAATTTCATGCCCATTTTATCAATCACTCAATTCTACAGCTTCTATAAGAGATGAAACTTTGATAGAAACACTGTATATTAAGTGAACATGCAAACTAAAATATATTCAGAACTGTTCATGATATATTTTTGTTGACTAAAAGTCTACTACAATAGTATCTTGCAGGCTCAATGAGATGTTTATATTCAGAAGCTAAATGGGTCATAAAAACAGAAATATGAGAAACTAATATAAGGCTAAGGGGTATTTTAATGTATTATTAGATATAAGCAAGTGTAGAAACTAACATTGAAGTGACATTAAAGCAAGCATAGAAACTAACCATTCTAACAAGAATGGGACAACTTGGTGTGGCCAGCTTGGCACAGCCAGGTCAATGCCACCAGCTTGGCACTGCCAAGTCATTTCTGCCAACTCCGCCAAGTCGCTGCTGCCAACTCCACCAAGCTGTCGCATGACAACTCCACACTGGCAAGTCACTGCAGGGACAACTTGCCACAGGCAGCTAGAGGGACAGCAGGGCGGGTGGACAAGCAAGTGGATGGGCTGAGCATAGAGCAGCGGCAGCAGCCGGGGGCTTCCCATTTTCACATCCCCTGCCACCACCACCACTGCCAAGCTCTGGGCCAAAGAAGCCAGGGATGGTGGAAGCATCGGCCGTGGGCAGGGCAGGCAGCAGGAAAGCAGTGGCAACTGAAGGCATCCCATTTTCACGCACACCGATGCCACTGCTGCTGTGTGAAGCTCTAGGCTAAAGAGTCTGAGGATGACAATAGTAGCAGATATGAAAATGGGATGCGGCCACTGCTGCCGGTCTCCCTTCTGTCGACCTGCTTGCTTGCCCACCCCCAGCTCTCCCTCTGTCTGCTCGAGTGTTGTTCCCGCAGTATGCTGGCCGTGTAGTGTTCTCCTGTGGTGACTTGGCAGCAATGAGTTGGTAGGGGTGACTTCATGGTGGCACTAAGCTGGCCATGCCAAGCTGGACACACCAAGTTGTTCTAGACCCACACTTTTGTCGTGTGAGTTTAACACATTAGCCTTTTACAAAAATCAAAAAAAAGAATAAAGTAAGGAAGCTGCTTGCTTAGTAATCAAGGCTGAAAACAGTTTCCTTTTCTATCCTGTCCAAGACACTTGTGCAGGATAAAGTGAACAAACTAGATCCATAAGAACTTGCACTGAGTAGGGGGTTGAACTCACTGATGGTTCCTTCTAATTCTGTGAACTATGAATCAAAAATGTTACTTTAAACCAAGGATTCATCAAAGTTAGTAATAAAACCTGTACAAAGCTAACGAAGGTGAATTAATATTTATATGGTGGTAAATCAAGACCAAGATAGCCAATCCAATTGACGTTTGGCCTGAACTTCATTGACCATTCAGAGTCAGTTTGCATTAGCTTGAAGCATCTATTTTACCCTAGAAAAACTCATGATTTCCCCCAATAATTATCTTTTTTACCTTGGAAGAGCTTAAAGAATTCCTACATTCCCTCAAATATGAGCCAGCAAATCTCTCAAAAATCTCTTAAATGGATCCAAAATATTAACTCAAATCACTCTATTGACATTATGAATTTGCTAGTTATACATGTAGTCGCTGTAGGTAACTAAATAGTAATAATAAAAAGTGTAACTCTTGGCCACAAATAATTGCCCCTCTAATAAATATAAATTCTCTTCTCACCCTTATGGACTGTCTGGTGTCTTTCTCAATCTCGGGTCCTCTACCAGAGGCCTGGGAGTTTGAGGGTTCTTAATTGTTCCTAGCACTGCACTCGTCTGGACAGAGAGCTCTGATGTTGTTCCTGGGATCTGTTGGAGCCACTCTCCCTCCCAGCTTAGGAATCACAACCGAGTGTTCCTACCACCACTGGAATCACTTTAACCTTTACTTATATTACTGAAAGTAGAATATATGGTATTGAGAATTCTCCTCATGCATTATATTTATATTGCCCTACGGAAAAACATCTTCGTAATGTTTAAAGGGTTCTGATAGCATAGAAGCAAACATGTTTCTATATCATAAATTCTACCAAATGTGTAAGAAAAACAAAGTGAAACATGGTTATTAAAACGACTCCTACCTTTTACTGTGCTTGCAGTATATTTATTTCCAAATTCTTGCTCCTTTGGCTTCAAAAACTGTGGAGTTGTTACTCCTGGATGCTGCGGGACATGGAATAAAGACTTTCCATTTGTAGCCATTTGTCTCTTCGGACTTAAAGCAGGAAGGTGAATATTACAGTCAATGGCATTACTCTGATGAGCCACACCTCCTCCAAGAGATGTCTTTAAATGTGAGGGGGTCGACAGATTTCCAATAGCAGGGCACGGGATGCTACTATTAGAAGAAGCAGAAGGAACTTCTATATGCAGTTTAATAGATGGGTTCTGCTGCGCATTTACCATCCCAGGCCTGTGAGGAATGCATGTTGTCTGGTGGCTCACACTACATGCCCTGACATTCATTGCCGAAGGATTCTTCTCCTAAAGATATGCAGTCAAAATTCCCGGATGTTGAAGACATCAGTCAGCAGTCAATAACTTATCTGTAGTGCATTATGCCTGTTGTAGGGGAGAGAAGACAATAAAATAACTTCGTTTGTATTACAATGCAAGGCTTCAGAGCTGCGCTTTGTGTTAACTGTAGGAGGCAGAATTATTGATTGTGTGAACATCAAAGTAGAAGGCAATTACTGAGAAAACCCTCTGGGGATAAAGACAAATGATTACTGAGAACTATAATGAAGAGAAATGATGCCCCTTAGAAGCAGAAGTTAACAGTAAGGTCAGCTACCTTTGTACTAGTTAACCAGCCATGAAATGGAATGAACACCAAACAAATGAATGAGCTAAAAAAAATCCAACTGTAAGTGGGAGCTATGGTTAAGAAGAGCTTTTTTTAAAAAAATGCACGTTGTGATAATTTAAAAAGGGAGATGCTAAAGCTTGTCCAATGATTAAGCTATACTGAGCCCAAAATATGACATTATTGCCAATTTGTGCTTTCGGAATTAAAAAATACAGTTAGATAGAAATCAGAATAACATACTGCAATGTACTAGCACATGGGAAAGGTAAGGAAAGAATAATATACTTTCAATAAAATATAATTCATTAATTTCTAAAATATATCTGTTATTTAACAGTTAATGCACATTAAATGCAGACATCAAAAAGGATTCAAAGGAATGGTTCAAACCCAGGACAAATGTAGTCCCTTTCTTGCTATTCAACCTCACTTTTTTGGAATTATGTGAGAGTCTGCCAAAATGATGCTGTTTTAAGAAGTCTGCTTATATAACTTGCTATGAAGGTTGTATTTCATTGATTATTGTGTTGCCGCTTTATCTATTTTAATTTTAATTATCATGAGAAGGAATTGTAAGCCTGGTCAAGTAGCAATCAATTATTAAAGTCACACTGCTTTAATGAACATCACAAAATCATTCACATGATATCTGAAGCATTTCTGAATCGTTTTCGCAGTGTGTACATCCCTGAAATGCAATAACTGTAATTAACGTAAGCCATGAATTCTCAGCTGGGACTTTACAGTAGCATCATTCTTGGTATAATAAGGTTATTTTCCTTGATCATCCCTATGGGTGAGTATCTAAATTTGTAAGTATACACTGTATTTGTAGAAAAACAATTAAGCAGATGCTAAACAAAATGAAAATCAGAAAATCAGTTTTCTGCATCTGTATGTTCAATTAGGTTGTTCAACTTGCCTTTAATGATTCCTTCTGCTGCTCAAATTTCTGAGATGGGCGGTATTTGCAGTGATAGTAATTGGTTCCAAAATGTGGGTGTGACCAGGCAGTCCAAGACCTGCCTCTTGTTAACATAAAGTATATGCATATGTTGCATGCATGTAAAAATGGACAAGCCTTCAATGACTCGCTTATGCCTGCAAATCTAAAACCAGCGGCCACTGCTGCAGATACTCTTGTTTATAAGTACAAAAGAAGCCAACATTCCTCCCTTTTTTGTGTCCATCTATTTACTATTCAATGATTATGGGAAATTGTGATTTGCCTGAGAAAAGTCAGAATATGGTTTGTTGATTTCATTAACAATTCCCTTCCGCTTTTACATTTATAATTTGAGCATGCTCTATTTGCATGAATAGATGATTCTAGCTCAGTCTATATTTATTTACTTTTTTATTTATCACATTTGTATGGCCATCCACATCACAAGTTCAACTCTTACAACAATTAAACAATAACAGAAGCAACAAAAGTAAATTTAACAAATAAATATGTAGTGAATAAAAATATAAACACAACAACATGCAACTAGACCTAAAGGCAAAAATGAAAATTTAATAAAACATAGTCATAGTGGGCAATACATCAGAATACTTAGTCATTTAGAGTGCATACAGGAATTCAAATGCAAGCAAATATGAGATGGAAGAGTGAATGGATTAAACACAAGGAAAAACCAATTAAAATTATGATTGGATGGAATGGTGCAATCTCCAAAAGAGAGAAATTGGGAGTATAATGAACAAAAGGCAATATTTGGAGTGATGGGCTTGTTTGGAAACAAGAATGAATTGAATGGAGAGAAAAGAATAGAGAGACATAGCATACCATGTCAGCATGGACCTCTGTTCAACTATATTTCTTTCATCTTCTTTTTATCACCTAATGTCTTACTTTTTTTACCAGATATTACTTATTTGTTTTCTGTTCTTCATATAATACTGCTTACCGTACAAATGAGTAGCAATATGGATAAGTATAATTTAGCTGTGAAGTGTTGAAACGTTGAGCCTTTTCCAGTGCTGACTGGCAATTACATGACTGAAGTGATTACAGGAATGGTTATCACTGAATTATACACCTCAAAGACTAAGGAAAAAAATTACCAAATGGACTCCCCTATATAATAAGCATAAACAGAGGCATATGAAATCAAACACACCCGTGCACATTTTCATTCTTCCTCTCTCTTCTCACATGTGCTTCATCTACCTATGGTACTTTAAAGACCTATTAGCTGTATATTACTTATATTAAAAAGAACAGGAATGTCAGTGTACAGCTGCAAACTCTGAAAAGTCACAAGCCTTAGTTCAATTCATTTAACCAAAAGAAATAAATGTTAAATTGTTCTTTTACAATGTTCAGGTTATAGTTTGCAGGAACATTTATTGATTAAACGCAGTATAGTTTATTTTCAGGCCTGGCCACAGCATAAATCATAGTTTGTATTTCAGCCAGGAACAGATGCGGCTAAGTGTTTTTAGATTCCCAGGGCTTATTTTAGTATAAAGCAGAATGTACCTTGCCCTAGCACAGGTGACTGGCTCTCAAGAAAAAGAACATGAAAACAAAGAGAGGCTATTCTATTGGCAAAACCATGTGCTCTATAATGCTATAAATCAATAGCAAATCAAAATGATTATTTTCTGTAGTTTTAAAATACCTTAGAAAAGTACTAACATAGCAAACAAGGTGTTATATTTGGCAGGCTCACTGAGTTTTGTTCAGAAACAATGTGCCTTGATTACATGGTAGACATATTTTTTATGTGCAGTGTGGACGACAGAAGATTTTATTTGGCCCGTGTTAATACACTCTTGATTATTCAAACTATTTTCTTAATTATTCCTTTAAAATAATGTTACAGTTGGAAGGAAAAAGAATGACAGGAATCCATTGCTTACATATTAAAACAAGTAGGAAGAGCAATTCTTATTAGCAATTGTTTGTTTGTTCGCATAATGTAACCTTGTTTGTTTGCATTATGTAATCCCACTTATACTACTGATCTCCTGATAATGCCCCAGTTGCCCCAACAATTGCTTTCTGGGCAGTCAATAATCCCCATAATCATTTCCCATTTAAAAGTTCACTAGATCCATACAGAAAAAGTTCTGAACCCACAATGGAAAACCAAAGCTCAAAAAATAGCTATACATTTAAAAAAAATAGTATAGGTTGAAATCCAATACATCCTTACCAATGTTTGTGAAGATCAGGTGGTGTTTGAATGATTTCCTCTGATGTGCAGTTTCCTATAAAAAGAATAACAATTTGATTGACCAAAGATATAAACAACACTCTTCATTTTAAATGTTAGCGCACATCACATATGTGTGTGTGTTCAATTATAAAATCAAAATGTGTATGTGTACACACACATGTACATATACATACATACATAAATATATGCGATAAAATCCAAGCAAGTATTTCCAAAATTTGTTCTCCATTAATTATAAAGACCTAGGAAAAGCTTAGCCTTGGACAAGTCCCTGCAGTTTCCTTGGCAAGATTTCAAAAGCTGCTTGCCACTGCCTCCTTCCTACAGCTGCTAGAGAATAACTAGTCTAGGGTCACCCAGCTAGCTTTATGCCAAATGTGGAACTAGAATTCAGACTTTCCTGATTTCTAGCCTCATTTAATTTGAAAACCATTTAAAACTATATAGGCCACTTATGATGAAAATATATTCATATTTATTCAAGTAGTACCTTGTACCTTTTTTAAATATTTATCTACCCTATTTATCTGCACTGCTTGGAGTTTATGTCCATCTGTTGATATGGATAATTGAAAGTAATTGTTTTATAGTTCATTTTATTTCAAATAGCCAGAACACCAATACAGCATCTGGGGCCCTAGAACAAGTGCACAGAAAAGCAATAAAGAAGATAAGGGGTCTGGAGGATAAATCCTAAGAACAGCTAAAGGAACTAGGGTGTTTAGGTTAATGAAAAGAAGACTCAGGGTGAGACATGATAACTATCTTTCCGTTCTTGACAATTGTTAACCGAATCATCTACCATTTTATTTTGCCATGGTTAAGCCAATCACTGGTTATTAAGTGAATCATGTAGTTATTAAGTGAATCTGGCTTCCACCACTGACTTTGCTTATCAGAAGCTCCTTAAGTAGCAAATGACAATCCCAGGACATAAATATATGCTGATTGCCAAGTACGCAAAGCTTGATCACATAACTTTGGGGATGCTGCAATATGAAAACTGATCATAAATCCAGGGCCGTTGTAACTTTGAACAAATGATGTAAATCTAAGACTAGTTGTAAGGATGAATTTCCTGAAGCGGTGGAACCTTCCAGAGTTCTGGGTGCTTCATCATTGGAGGTTTCCAAGAAAAAATGTGGACATCCATTTGGCTGGCCTCCTATCCTGGGCAGGGGATTGGACTAGAGGATTTCAAAGATCCCTTCTATCTTCTGATTATAATCAGTATGTAGCAGCAATTTTTTAAATTACAAAGCCTCTATTAGCAGACAGTAGATTAGTCTTAGCTTACTCAAATTCAGTTGCCCACTAGCAAAACCAATTTCAATAATGATGCCATAAAAGTAACTTCTAAAGTTACTTCAGATATTGGCATCAAGAGTGAACTGCAGTGTGAAATTGCAACTTATTCATCCCTGCCTTTTTTTTCTAAAATACATCTATTTGTTGATTAAAAGCAGACGGGGGTGGGTGGGTATGAAAACTATTTAAAATCATACATGATTTAAAACTGCTGGCACCTAATTCAAAATATGTGAACATTATTATTATAATACCCATTTAAATTAGTATAGCAAAATGTTCTGAGAGATTTCTTCCAAGTTCCAACATTATATTACAGTCTTTCCAATCATTTATTTGCTATCACAACAAAATTTAGAACTGAATCCAATAATTCTGCTTACGACAGAATTACAAAAAGTTTGCGAAGTTGCGAATTACAAAAAGTTTGAGTTTTCAATATTTCTGCCTTGAGCAACAATTGTGACTGATCCTTCCTGCACATCAGCTTGGAGGAATTTTATCCCTTCAACTTAGAGATGTTGCTGGACATCCTCACATGAACTGCCTTCTTCAAGTTCTTCTACAACCTTTCTATAAGACTTAAGGTCAGTACTTTGACTTGGCCATTCCAAAACATTAACTTTCTTCTACTTTAACCATTCTTTAGTCATACAACTTGTGTATTTTGGATCCTTGTCCTGCTGAATGACCCATTTTCTCTTGATCTTCCATTAATGGACAGATAGAATAGAATTCTTTATTGGCCAAGTGTGATTGGACACACAAAGAATTTGCCTTTGGTGCATATGCTCTCAGTAAAGAAAAAATAAAATACACTCATCAAGAATCATACGATACAACACTTAGTGATAGTCATAGGTTACTAATAAGCAATCAAATCATATTAGGAAACAAATGGACAGATACCCTAATAATTTCCTATATAATTTGCTGGTACAAATCAGATTTCATAGTTCCATCAATAATGGCAAGCTGTCTTGGTCCAGACATAACAAAGCAGCTCCAAACCATGATACAGCCACCACTAAGTTTCATAGATGAGATAGGTTCTTATGCTGGGATACAGTGTTTCCTTTTGCCAATCAACCCAAAAAGTTCTATTTTAGTCTCATCTGCCCACAGAACATTCTTCCTTCTGGCTTATTCACATGTTTTATTGCATGCAATAGATGGGTAGCAATGTTCTTTTCAGAGCGTAGTTCAGTGCACACTACTGTTGCTTAGTGGTTTCCTGCTCATTGTTTTATGGACACTGACATTTGCCAATGCAAGATAAACCTGTAATTGTATGTAAGAAAGACCTTGGGAGAAAGGGCGAAGAGATGCTGCCTAGGGAACAGTCAGATAAGCTATGCAGTCAGATAAGCAATGCAGTCAGATAAGAGATGCGGTCAGATAAGAGATGCGGTCAGGTAAGAGATGCACTATGCAGGTGCACTATGCAGCTACATCATGGGGAGAACAAGAGGCTCAGGAATGGCCCTACCTAAGGTATGGTAACATTAAGAGAACTGTACTTTCAGACTTGCAAGAATCTATTAAGGTAGATTTCAATAAAGTCGAATTAGTTTAGTCAAGCATACAGGTCATTCAAAATAGCTACAATTCTAGGCATCTTACATATTCTAGAAGTTTAAAAATAAATAAATGAATCCATTATAAAGAGCTACCAAACCCCACTTTGGGAGAAAAAACAAAAGCAAATACATCACTGCAGCTGACATATATCAAGAGCAGGATCTTGGTTCAATCTGCTCCAGACTGCTGAATCAGTTAAGTCTTAAAATTTTGCAGAAACAAAGGTTCCTTGTATGTTCATGTATATCTATAGAGAGCAAAATTTATATCCCCAAAATGTTCTTTAGTGTAATAATTCTTTATTCGCATATGTAAATCATCACAATTAGCTCCATCTACTTATTACTATAAGGCAATTTTTACACATTTCTTGAGAGATGCATTTGAGTATTCAACACATTATTATGTTAAACACTAAGGCCAAACCACAAAAGGGAAAAAAGTTTTTTTCCCAAATTTTATTCCTTCTCCTGTTGGATAGCACCATAGCATTACACATTTTAAGATAATTCATCATGAAATGTCTGCATTGATGAGTATGTAAAAATTCCACAGCCTTACCACTTTTACTCACGGTTAAATTCAGTTAAATTTAGATGCTTTCTCTTCTGACACACTATAATGACTCAGACAAAGAATTAGATTACGTAATGGGTTTGGTTTGGATCACTCAGAGAACTCAGTTCAAAAGATCTTATATGTTAGCAAGGCTAATACAATTTTCAAAGAAATAACAGTAGATAAGTAGGCCTTACACTAAAATAAAGAGTTCTGTTTCATATGACATTTGATAACATGGACTTTTGTGTCATATATTGCTGCAAATGCAGCAAAATACTTGAGAAAGTCTTGCAATACAGTCTGATTAGTAAGTTAGTTTAGTATGAAGTTGGATGGCATGGCTATTAGATAGATCCACAACAGCTTAGAAACAGAATTCAGAGCTTGCTCATCCATAATTCATCAAATTGGAGCAATGTATCAAATAGAGCACCACACTTCAATATTTGTACTCTTCCACATTTTTATAAATGTAGTAAAATAAAATATTGGGTAGGGGAGTTACAAATATCATATAAGTAACTAAAATAGATAACCCTCTGAAATTAAGAAACATTTAAACAGTTCTTGCTCGGTTAGAGATGTGAAATTAAAAAGGAACAGAAAGACATATGCTGCAGACCAATAAAAAGTTATTCATTTAGGAAGGAGGAAACTTACATGCAAATGTATAGGTTAGTGACATAATAGCAGTATTCCAGTATTTGAGAGGTTGTCACAAAGAAGAGGGAGTCAACTTATTTTCCAAAGGATCAGAAGGCAAGACAAGAAACAGTGGATGGAAATCAATCAAGGAGAGAAGTAACCTAGAACTAAAGAGAAACTTCCTAACAGTGAGGACAATTAACCAGTGGAACAGCTTGCCACCAGAAGTTGTAGGTGCTTCTTCACTGGAGGTTTTTTAAGAAGAGACTGGACAGCCACCTGTCTGAAATGGTATGGGGTCTCCTGCTTGAGCAGGGGATTGGGCTAGAAGACCTCCAAGGTCCCTTCCAGCTCTATTCTGATTGATTGATTGAGGTGCTCCATGAAAAGGATTTTGGAAGTGAAGTTGTTCACAGGTTGAAACGTGTCAGTAGCGTAACAAGGCAGTTGGCCCATGATAGCAACATCGTAAGGAAAATTCTGAGACTGGAAAGATGTGGAAAAGGGCAATTAAAGACTGAAAATAAGGATTATGAGGACAGACCGAGTGAAGTGGACCCATTTCGTCTTAAGAAAAAATGATTAAGGGGAAATATTACAGGATTTTTCCTGAATCCAAAAAGTTATAATCCAGAAAGGGCAGTAAAGATCCTATTGACATAGAGTGCAGGACACAACACTACTGTATAATCTTAGTTACAGGAAATCAGATTTAAGTTAAAGTTTAACAAAACTGTCATAACAGTAAGAACAATTTGATAGTGAAACCAATTACCAAAAATCTCCTTCACTGAATGCATTGGACAAATGCAATTCAATTTGCATAAAATGGGAAAAGGTAGAGCCAAATGACCAAAATCATAAGAATTACAGTCTGCTCAATTTCTATGAAACCTTGCAAGGAAGATGAGCATAATAAATGATATCAGCACATTTACTTGAAATGCAAATAGGGTTTTCCCTCAAAATATATGTTTTGGGGGTGAAGGAAAACCATTAAAAGGATTTTGAAAACCATTAAATGGGCAAAGGTACAAAAGACTGCAGATAGCATTGCTAAATGGATTCCTTTGAAAATCAATCTGAAGATTAGTCACTGCTCTAAAGAAGTTTCTCAACTGCTGAATTTAATTTTTTAAAGGTGCCCAATTAGAGATTTATTTTTCTTCACTTTTTTTCCATTTACCTCATCTACATCAGTTTTGTACCTTCCTTTCTCTTCCCTTCTCAGTGCACCTATTCCTTCACTAATTTTTCTTCCTATCTCCTACCTCTGCTGAACTTTAAAAGTTCAGACTTTTAAAAAAGTTTCTGTGTGTGAGAATGGTTTGTGTGTACAAACATAGTTGGTATATTGTTGGATAGCAGATGAGCTAGGTCCTAAACAATTAGTTATTCTACAGCAGTAAATTTGTTATTAATAAGTTGTTATTATTAAGTCAGTGGAAATAATTTTCTTCTTCCTCCTACCTTTCCACAGGAGGTTATCTTAGTTCCAGAGATATTTTCTTGTACATAAATACAGCAATCTTCTAAATTTCACTATGTACAGTAGAGAGAAAGAAAAACCCTTAATCTTGACCAAGTTTTAAATAAGATGGAATTAGATTTATTAAACTATAACTCAGCTTAATCTTCATTCTGTTATTTTATACTTGTTTACTTTAAATTTTGGAAATGTATTTCTGAAAATAATATAGGATTGTGGAGGATAGAGTCGAAATGCACTTAATAGATAAATAAAACATCATAAAATGGGAACCAAAATTCTCAGGAATTTTTTTTTTCCAAAATCCAAAAGCAGGTTTAAGATTTAATCAGTAAAGAAGAATTATCTAAAGAAATGGATCAAAAGCTAATTTTTGAAGCTAACCTTTGGATACAGAGGAAGCATCAAATCAACTTAGTTGGCTCAATACCCCTTGAGCTTTGGGTCTGAAGTCAGAGAATTTAGCATCCCTATGTAGGTTTGTAGGGTCCTAAGGTAAAAGAAATCACTACAGTACTGTACTTCCATGTTTTTATTCCTCTATAACTAAAGAAGAATATAAATGACAACACATTTTGGTATATTAGTGTGAGTAGTGTTATTTCATCTACTTAAGCCTTTCTATTGTTAATTAGTTAGTAGTTAGAATTACTAACAATGCAATAGGAATTACACATTAGAAATTACGCTGAACAATCAAAATATTAGTGAAAATATAAACAAGATTCCTTGATATAATAAAGTTACCAGCAAAACTACTATGGGCAATTTCTCCCCACCAAAGACTGTAGCTTCTAAGATCACCAGAACAGAAATCCTTTAGTTAAAGTACTTATACGGGTACTCAACTTATGACAAACTTTATGTTGTTAAATGAGGCATTTAAGTGAGTTTTGCCCCATTTTACAACATTTTTTGCCAGAATTGTTAAGTGAATCACTGCAGTTGATAAGTTAACCTGATTGTTAAGTGAATCTAGCTTCCCCATTGACTTTGCTGGTCAAAAGGCTGCAAAATGACATTAGGACGCAGCAATGGTCATAAGTATGAACCAGTTGCCAAGCATCTGAATTTTGATCACATGATCATGGGGATGCTACAAAGGTTGCAACTGTGAAAAATGGTTGTAAGTGCTATTGTAACTTTGAACGGTCATTAAATGAATGGTTGCAAGGCGAGGATTACCTGTATCTTTTCCCACAATCCTGTCCATTAAAAAAATGCAGGGGTGTCTAACCTTGGCGATTTTAAGACCTGGCTAAGGAATTCTGGGAGTTAAAGTCCACAAGTCTTAACACTTGCCAAGTTTGGACACCCTTTGCCTAAAAACAGCACTCAATTTCTTCCAGAATTCAGTTTCTAGCCCTGTTTTTTTCCTATCTTTTTATTTTATTATGTATCAAGTTGTGATATTTTAAAAAGTCTGCATCAGAATGTTTACAAATTCCCTACCATTTCTTCCAGCATAAGCATTTGCAGGAAAATAGTATATTTTGTATGAAATGTATACATTGGTAGGAAATGTAACTTTTTTCTGTGCATTTTTTTTAAATGACTCTCTTCCTTTTCCTTATTTTGCTCATTTAATTCTCACTTTGGGATGAACATACATAATTCACACATGCAGAAAACTGTGCATTAATACTAATATCTTTATAAACATAATAGTATAATCTTCCAGTTTAACTCTACACCAAATCATTTTACAAAATACAGACACAAGTTCTACAATGAAAACTGCTTGTAAAATAAATGGATATTGGGAAAAACTATGTATATAAGTTTATAGCTTAAGTTAAACATACAACTTTTGTACAGACTTTTAATTGACTTCACACCCCTCAATTTCTTCAGCTCATATGGTTTAAAGCACTCATCTCTTCTCCAAATCTTTTCCAAACAAACCCTGTGAGAGGTGGATTGAGCCAGAGCAATTGACTGGTCCAAAGTCATCCAATGAGTTTTCAAGGTGAGGATGGATTTGAGGCTGGAGACTCCATCCTCCCTAACCCAGTCTCTTAACTACTATGTCTCATTGATTCTCAATCCCCCTCCCCCCCAGAAATATGATGCAGAACATTCTAATCCAGAATAAAATAAAGATCTGACAAAATAAGAAATTAAATCAATGTGAACAAAATGCATTTGTCTGTCTTTGCTAGTTACTACTTTTAACTAACTATCTATACAATCATGATTAACATTCTAACAGAAGTTGGTATCTAGTCAACCTTGGCTGGTACTGAAAAAGCTAAGCAAGACTGGACCTGATTATTACTTAATGGGAGACCATCTGAACCCTAGAAAACATCCTGGAAGAAGGCAATATCAAGCTTTTGCACTGATGCCTAAAACGCACGACTGTGTCATTGTAATATCCAGGAATTTAAACTAAACTAGAGGTGGACATTTATGTGCCACTCCTGGTGGAAAGAGAAAGGAAATATCATTTTTCTAATTCTCATAATTGTGGAAACAGGTAGAATAACTACTATGTTCTTGCACAGGACTTATAAGGCTTCATAAATATCTCAGTAGTAAGTCTCAGTAATATATGTTGAATGGGGAAGTTCTCACATAATTTCTACCATCACCAGTTAAGCACAAGTACTATGAACACCTCTTTGGCTGAGGACCCCAAAGCTACTGCTAATCAGGGTAACAAACAGAGCAAGTAAATTGTCTGATCTAATACAACTTAAAATCCAGGACCACAAGCCATTCAGTTTTTACCACTTCCTAAAAGTTTTTCAGATAATATCTAAGTTAAATCAGTTGTTAACACACTTCTTTCCAGCATTTCTTTTATAGTTAGTTAGTTAGTTAGTTAGTTAGTTAGTTAGATAGATAGATAGATAGATAGATAGATAGATAGATAGATAGATAACCTCACAGTTTAAATTATTGGAAATCCATTACATCTCATTTCCTCCAATTTTAGCTAAGTCATGATCTTATGGTTTTCTAGGAAGCAATACAGAAAGGGGAAGCTTTAGAAAGGAAAGGATGACAGTGGTTAGAAGAGCACAACACTCTAGACATGTTCAAAGGCACTCTCATTTAGGATCACTGCACTTTCCAGGATTTTGAAATCTGCACCTCAATTAAAGGAAACTGTTTAAAGATTAAGACACCTGTGTCTGTGATCTCCCAGCTGCATATTTGAAAAAGGACAGCCAGGAATATAAAATAACAGCAACTTCTTGTCTTACTGTCACATTACAGTCAGCTACAATATCAAAATTAGAATATACAGAGGAGGACACCAAGTTGGGCAAGGCAATGTAACACACCTTGTATTACCTCCAGTTTTCCAACCCTGAATTTCTTTCCCTTCTTATTACAGAATAGGGAGATCAGAGCAAAACACCTACAATCCCGTCCTGGTCATTTACAATTCAGTCCTGAACGTACAGAAAATCGGACAGAGAGATGCAGAGGGGATACTCATAGACGTGGAAAAGTCTCCCAGCCAGCCTTAAAACCTTCAAGAGGAGCAGATAACAAACCGAGTGCTCCGCTCCAGTAGAAGCAAGGCAAGAGAGGAGGGGAGAAATCAAGCGCTGTTAGATCTAACTCAGTTTAATGATCAACAAGATGACAAATCTCCCGAAGGGAATATTTGTTTCAACTTTTTCACATGCTGTTTTCTTTCTCTCTCTCTCTCTCCTCCCATTCTCCGGCAGGGCTTTGGATGATTTGAGAGGGAAAGGGAGGGAACGAGAGACCCCGTCAGGAAAGAGCGCTCGGAGGGCCAGTCTAGCGCTTCCTTCCACAGCCAATGCAACGGGGGGGCACACATGCGTGGAAAAGAGGGACGCGGGATCGGGGCAGAGGGGGAAAGTCGCTTTGAGAGGGAAAAGAGCCAGGAGAAGGAGCAATTCCAGCAGGAGGCAATCCCGGGGTCACAGATACCCCTTCAAACGCCACAGCCTGACGCGTTCAAACTGCGGGGAAAGACGCGTCTGAAAAAAACCCGAGCCTTTCACGATGCCCAGAAGGGAGGCTCCGCTGGTCGTATTTAACATCCAAACTTTTCCCAAACAGAGTCCAACAAACATGGTCAGGACAAACCATGGTTGGGTTTGAAAAGGCCACCACGCGGTCTTCCAGGCGATTGCATTCCGTCAATAAACAGCCGCCCCTCTTTCCCGTTAAAATAATAATAATAATCAAGCCAGGGTTGCCCCGAGGCTCCAAAACGCAACCGGGGTGGGGTGGGGGGAGGGCGAGGGAGGGAGATGGCTAATTCCCGCCGACCCCCGCCCCAAAAATACGTACGTTGCCTTAAGCCATGACCCTCTTCGGATGCCTCGTTCCGGATTTGGAGCGGGCCGCTGACGTTTTCCCGGAGTTTGGCGAAGCCTCCTCCGCGTCCAAATCCCGAGCCTTCTGGGACGGGGCTGTTTCTGACGGTGCGTCCCTCAGTCGTGGCGCGCCGAGGCGGACCCGGCTTTTTTTTTTTTTTTTTCCCTAATTGCCCGCAAGCAAAGTTCCGCCGGCGGCGGCGGCGGCAGCAGCATCCACTGACCAGGTAACCAGGTTTTCCACAACAAACCTCCAGGTGCCCGTCTCTTCTTCGGCCAGGCGCGGGCGGCCCCGCCCCGCCCCTCTTTCCTCGTCGCCGGGAGCAGCAGCAGCAGCTACAGGCGAAGGGAGCCTCGCGCGTTAAAGGCAGACCGAGTCAGGACTTCCACCTTGCCGGGCGATTGAGGAGAAGTTCTCCATTGGGAGTGATTTTTTTTTTTTCGGGGGGTGGTGGTGGAGAGAAACAGGGGGCGTAGGGGGGAGGCTGGGAGGTGTGACTCGGCCCTTATTCTACGTTTCGTACGCGAATTCAGACGCGCGCGGCTTTCACCCTCGTGGTCCCCAGGTTGGGGCGAAGCCTTTTGGGGCTGGGTGAAAGGATGCTCCCCCGTCCTCACGAGAGGCTGCCGTGCCTCCTTTTACAGAGAGGAAAAGGGAAACGCTGTGTTGTGTGGGAAGGGGACGGGGAAGGTTCGCCTCCTAATTTCCCGAGCGGGGTGGGAGTCGAGGGGACGGCTGGCAAGCGTGACTCGCACATCACCAGCTCCCCTTCCCCTTAGCGGCGATGCCCGCGCTTTTCTGAGGGCCGGAGCAGCCGCCTCAGCGCCAGTGCGGACTGCCGGAGAAGGTGCGGGTGGGGGGGGAGGGAAAGGAGACCAGGCCGCCGGAGACTATAGGGCGAGCGAAGGCGCGTGAGGGCTGCCAGCAGCCAGCCGAATGCCAGATCCTGAGGGGAGGGAGAAGAGGGCGGGAAGCCATTAGTCAATAGGGGGCCTCGACGAGGCCAAGCCCCAGCGCGGGACTCTTCTCTCCCCCTCCGCCCCCGCTATCGTCCGTGGCACGTGAGTCCCCGGACTCGCTGAGGGGCAGGCTAGCTAGTCAGTGGTTGCGGCACTACGTCGTCTTTCCCAGAACTTTTCTTTTAAAACTCTCTGTCGCAGGAATGTTAAAGCCAAATACCCCGGGACTTGCGTAATTTCTCTCTTTTCTCCTCCTCCTCCTCCTCCGCCTGCTCCCATTATTGCTAAACAGACTAGAATGAGATCTCTCTTAGCCCACTCCCCCCCCCACCTCCGCTGCCCAAATGTAATTCCAGAAAAGGGACACGTCATAGAAGTTAGCTTCAAATATCGTAGCTTGCTTAGACTTTGAAGCTCTAGGGTAGGAGATGGAGGGCGGGGGAGAGAAAAAGGTTGTGAAATCGAGAATTCCCCCCCTCCTCCTCCAACAAACATCTGGGATGATAGGTGCTGTAACTCTTCACAGTTAAACCGAACTGTTGAGCCAGCATCTTGTTTCTCGAGTTATTTATTTAGAATGATATATCTAAACCTGTAGCTCTTTGCTCAGGAATCAAAAGTTATTTTAATTAGAGTGAATAGGATTACAGGCTTACAGCAACATTCTATACACTGTGCATAAGTGGGAGGATCACTAGTTATTATTATTTAATAGATTAATAAGTACCGGTAGTATGGGAAAATAGTGTTGTGGGAAGCTGCAGCCCCTCCTAGAGATTGAAATATTTTGGAGAATATTAAAAGAGATAGAATATTATTATATTTCCCCAAAGGAGAAATGGAGAAAAATCTTAACAAAGGCAGAAAGTAGCCCCAGGCATTCTTAATAGCCTCAAACAGAAGCCTCAAGTCTTTAGAGATGGATATTTTGTACCTATTATCAAAGACTGAGCCAATCTATTCATAAACAAAACACACAGAAGGTTGGAGCTGATGGGATTAAAATCTACATTCCCCCATTCAAATTCTAAGGACAGATAATTAGGAGATAATAGGATTTACCCACCACCATTAGAATAGCAAAAGACACAAGGTTCACTACATTGCATAATCCCCTGGAGCACCTCAATCACAAAATCCCAGAACCCTATAAATATCCATGCATTCATCCAGCCACCCCAGAAACATGTTATCACTAAAGTTTCTGGAAACCAAATAAACCTTTCCTTGCAGTTGGCCTCCATTTTATTTCCAGTGCCTTTCTCCCGGCTTGAAACCAGACCAGATTTTTCTTCCCATAGTGTTATGCATCTGTTTAGAGCAGAGGTCTCATTCTTGCGGCCCGTGGGCCAATTGCGGCCCGCAGGACGATATCCTGTGGCCCCCACCATGATATGAAAGTATAACATTTGAGGATATTTTTTTAACGTTTTTTGTGGAATCCCTTATGCGGCCCAGCCTCACCCAGACTCTGCCTCCAGCGGCCCCCAGGTAAATTGAGTTTGAGACCCCTGGTTTAGAGTTTAGATCAGATTTATAAACTCTTCGCTTAAAATTCTGGCACAATTTTCTTTCTCTAATTTGAATATGAGGAGAAACATTGAGAAGCCCATAAGGTACATTAGAACTTCATGAAATTTCTCCACTTGATCTGAATTTTAACCAAATCTGTATCCCACTCTACAAATGTGTCTGTGTACAGGTAACAAAGATGGTACTCTCTGCCTTCTTCAAAATTCAAATATGGTTTAGCTGGAGAATTAATACTACCATAAATTGCTATGGTACTTTTTATCAAAATACCACTATTTGTGCAAAAATACATTTTTAAATTGCAGAAATTTAAAATGCTTGTATGGGTTATCTCTGTAACAGTAAAAAATTTCAAAGTATGAAATATATTTTTGGCCAATGATAGATTTCAATGATAAGTTATTTGATAAGAAAAACCTTTGATGGGGCATATGAAAAATATTAATATTTGCATTTTTCCTTTCTAACTTAAATTTAGAATTGCCAGATTCTAAATTGCCTGGAAAATCTTCTATGACATCTACAAGTTATATTGCAAGCACAGAATCAGCAATGAATGAAAATGGAGGAACTAAATCTCATCTAATGCACACCAAGGATTAATCTAATAAAATATTCTATTAACAACACTAGCCAAGCAGATGCCTCTTTGAAACTACTGGTCAACAAGCATTTTGTCATGTGGACTGTAATGTATAGTATATTCTCAGCAGACTTTTTCCATGCTGAATTTCAAAATAAATTCAATTTTTTTAAAAGATTAATTTGTTTGTGATCCCATCTTTATTATTCTGTTCAGTTAATGGCATGGTACTATATTTTAACTAGAGTGGCATATTTGTAACAGTTGTTGAGCAAAATCAGGTTATTATTACTGTTCTCTAGTACAAATAACTTCAACACAAAGAAAGTAGGCATGATAACTACCACAGGACAGCACATTGCAGGTTGAATCATGTTTGAACATGTCTAACATGAGCCCAGTCTCTTCCTGGAGAGCAGTTCCTTATTGATCTGGGGCCAGAACTCACAGTATAAACAACTATATAATCTCTGTATTCAAATTAATATTAAACTGATTGTAATAGTGTTCTGCTTACCTACATACTATTGCTATGCCAGAAAATTGTGTAAATTCTCCTGGTACTTTTTCTGTGTTTGTGGTGAGTAAATATTTAGGTTTCAGAAACAAAACTTGTTAGAAGATGCTATAAACTTTATTTTTATTGTAAGACGAGTGACACAGAGAATTGGGCCACCAGCATTTGCTGTGTGACATGTTAGATTCATGCTATATGCAGTTTGCCATTTCTACAGCATGGAAGAATTGATGTATCCTGATTTATCATCTACAATGAAGCCAGTTCCACATATAAAGAGCTGCCTGTACCAAAACCTTAGAATCATGTAAGGACATGAAACTACTTTGGGAAAAATCCAGTTTGAAAAATATAAATGGAATATTTGGAGGTCTGAAGGTCATTGCACTTTTGCTCAGACTGCAGTTTAGGAGCAATAGAAACAGATCCCATAAAGAACTGCCAAATGATACCTTGTTTGTCCAGAAATAAGCGCCGTAAATAGTTTTTTACCGTGAAAATATTTTCTTTCCTCTTTTGTACATCAAATTTGGACATATGAAACATTGAAGTGACGGATAAAAGAAGAACTGGATTCATATATTTGAGGACTAAATTTCAAGGATTAGTGACATTAGGATTAGGGAAGGTATTTTTAGTTCCTCAGTTAACATTAACAAAAATCACCAGTTGAGTTAGAACTATAGGATTGCTTTTATCACCTCTGAAAATAACATCAAATGGTGAGAGTTGCATAAGTAAAACTCTTGGCAGTGAATAGCATCTTTTGCTGGCCATAAAAAAAAATCTCAATTGTAGCTTCTGAAGAGCTGATAGATCATGCAGAGGCCTTTCTTGTAATGTGAATGCAACCTAGCTCATGAATTCTAGCAGTTATATGCCCTACTCTGCCATGTAGGGCAGATGAAAAAAGCTGTATTGTAATGTGATGCAAACTTCACCCTTTTGCACTTGCATTCAAATATGTACAATTGTGGTATAACATGAAGCCTGTTTTGACATTCTAATGAAATGGACTTATATCTGATATTGATGCTGTAGCTTATCTGATACTAGCAGTTGTTTTTCAAATATGGTTTATAAGCATTTCTATTTGCATGTACTTTTGCATTTTTTTAAATAAATTGTAAGCTGTATTATCAGCACACATAGGTTTCCTCTGCATGCCAGTGACCAATGGTACTATCAAACTACAAATCCATGTCAGAAATGCAATTCTTGTTAATGTTAGATATTTCTTAAGACTTTAAGACACATGAACAGTCTTTGGTTTATCAGTAAAATAGAAATCCAAGTATATGTTTTCAATATATCATATTCCATCTTCACTTTCATCATTTACAAAGGATTTCTTACAAACATCTAAAGTTTTCCATAAAGTGGGTAGTGCATGATTCAGAACTGTTTTGAATTAAGTGCTCTGGACTTTCCATGTGTGTAAGCTTAGCACACTCCA